TATAAGCATCCTTCATTCTCTGAAAGGAGCCTGCAGCCCCTACTGTCCTTTGGCCTTTGCAGGTGCAGGGTAGGCCCAAGATTTTTTTTTTTTTTTTTTAAGATTTTTTTTTTTTTTTTTTGGTACTGGGGATGGAACTCAGGACCTTACCCTTGCCAGGGAGGTACTTGTGCTGCTGAGCCATATACCTAGCCCAGGCCCAGGATCTTGCCTGACAGAGGTAACTCAGTTACCCCATGTGACGCTGCCTGCTGCTTAAAGGTTATGAAGCCCAGAAAAACAAAGTGCTGTCACAGCCACCAGTGAGGGTAGCAAATGGGTTCTTGTGAAGTTGTTGGGGAAGAGCCCCAAACATTAAAAATACTTGTGAGAGTGCTGGGTGTGGTGGCACAAGCCTGCAATCCCAGCACTCTGGGAGGCTGAGGTAGGAGATACATAAATTCAAATCCTGGGCTGGGGATATGGCTCACAGGCACAGCACTTGTCTGGCAAGCACAAAGTTGTGAGTTCATTTCCTGGTATCCAAACCCGCCCCCCCCCCAAAAAAAAAAAACCCCATAAATTAAAATCCAGTCTGGGCAACTTAGTAAAGACCCTGTCTGAAAGTGAAAAACATTTTCAAAAAGGGCTAGGGAGAAAAAGCCCTGGTTTCAAGTCTTAGTATGGGGAGTGGGGGGAGTGCGTGCTGTATCTGTTGAATGAATAACCCAATGAATCTCGTCTTATTTACCTCTACCATATTGTGAGCCACCTGGGCTATTTCTTTTTCTTTTCTTTTTTTTTTTTTTTTTTTGCATTTTTGGCACAGGATCCTGCTATGTAGCTTAGGCTGGCAATTATGGCTAAGGCTGAACCCATGGCAGTCTTCCTGCTTCAGGCTTCTGGGTCCTGGGATTCAGGCATGTGCCACCATACTCAGCTATCACATAGGTTATTTCTAAGACGTCACTATGATCTACAGGCTGCAATGAATATTGGATGTGTTCATCTTTCAGAAAGCACAGAAGACTAAAATTGCCCAAAATAAACAGTGCTAATTTAGGGGAATTCCTCCACTGACTTCTGTTGCTATAGCAACCTGACTGGCTTGTGTATGCTACACACCCCTGCCACCAGGGCCCCCATGTGGGACTGTCCCTGGGAGATTTTCGCAGATACCTGGGTCGCCCTCTCTGTCTTCTTCTCCTTCTTTCCTTCCCACCCCAGCACTAGGATTCCTGCCAGCGCTGGACCACCTATCGGGACATGGGAGACATGCTGTGGATGACCTCCTCACTCAGACATTTGCTTCCCACCATGTGGGCACTGTGTGTACCAAGTGATGGGGATCCAGAGGAGTATGAGCTGATGCTCCTGGGGAGATGCTGATACTATGCCTTGGCTTCCTGTCTCCCCTTTGCCTGTTACAATGTGAACTTGCTGACTGAGTCGGCCAGAGAGAGTGAGGATGAATCCCAGAGAACCTCATCAGCTGTGGCTTTTTGAGGCCAGCAGATATTTCTCTTCTTCCATATCATTTTTCCAGTCTGCCTGGTAGCAGTCAGGCCCTCTCTAGGATGCAGTCTGGGCAGTGAATGCCTTTTTGCTTGTCCCTGGCTCTGCGCTGAGGCCCAAGCATGCTGCAGCTGGGTGTTAGTATCCTAAGGAGGTGGGTAGGTGGGCTCTTGAGGTCAGGGGTCCCTGGCCAGCCTCAGCTCATGGCTGGGGCACAGATCCATCAGGCATTTCCCTCAGGACACATCAGGCATTTCTCTTGGAGCCATGCTGCAGACCCACTCTGGCCATTTATTTAGGTCCAAAGAGTGGAATATTTGGAGAAGACCCTGGGTCTTTCATAGACTTGCTCCTAGGGGTGGTATATTAGAGCTCAGGGAAGAAGATTTGATATAGAATTTGGGCTGGGGAGTGAATCTTCTTTCTTTATTATTATTGTTGGGGCCAACAAATGAATCTTACTTTATTTTTTGTCTTTTTGAGACAGAG